GCCTTTGCAAACTTGCACTCAAAAGAGAAAGCAAAGCGTTAACATCTTTTCGTGGCTACATAACGTTTATAAGCTTTTGTACTTTTGAGTTGCAGGATAGTTGATCTCTTTTTTTGATCATAAACCATCTCAACTGCGAATACCAGTTTGCAAATTACTGTTACTAAGGGTTGATGCTGCTGACTGTGAAATCTTCTGATTATATTAAATACTGACTTGATATTAATTGAAAGCTATGCTTTATGCATTGCATTTTAAGTATCATCATCTATTTGTGAGAACGTGGAGTGGAGGGAGAGTGGGAGGAACATAAAATCAAATTATTTTAAATGCATTTAACATGCAAATTCAGTAAGTTAGTATAGATTTGCTGTTACACCCAGACAGTGATATTTTATCTGTGCACCACAGCTCTGAACTAATAGCCCTTCTCCAAGCCTGAGCTGAGGGTGCATTTTTTTCTTTTTCCCCAGCGTGTCTGTATTCAGACCTTGAGGGAAAGAATGCCTGCTGTGTCTAATTCCTCCTAGCTTCTCTTTGAACAAAGTTGCAACTAACACTAGGTCCTTTCATTACTGTCCTGGTGATACATCTTTGTACACCTAAATCCTTGGGCATTTTAGAAATGAATGCTTTGTGTCAAACATAAAGGAATGTAGCTAGTGAACACAGTCATCTTTTCCAGCTTCGGTTATCTCTGAAAATTGTTTCTTTTCTCATAATTGCTGAGGCAAGCTGGCAGAATAATTGCTGTATGGACTTGAATGTAGATCAGTTTAAACTCATTGGCTATCCAGAAGGTGTTTCTGCAGTGTAGGCATTCAGCTTCATTGACAGCTCAGAAAAATATTTTTCCTTTCTATAAATTAGACCAAATACTTTATAGAAAAAAGTGACGGCATAAGATAATGCACTGCAGTGGTCAGTGACTACCTTAGATGAATGTAACGTCGGTTCTTTATTTCACGTGGTTTTTCTTTAGGCTTTGCTGTATTAGGGGATATGGGGCTTTTTCACCTTCCTAGGTCATCTGTACTTGCGGAGGGAGGGTTGGTGGGGTTTTTCTGCTTGCTTGGTTTACAGTTGCATTGGTTTTGTTTCAGTTGAGTGTATTGTCTTGTCTTTTCTCTGCCCCAGAACTGTAAGATCTGGGGAGATATGGGGAGGAAGAGACGTCAGCCCCCCAGCCTCCCTCCCCGGTGGTACTCCCCGATATCGTGCTGAACAGACAGCTGTAGTACAGATCCCCATCTGCCTCTCAGCTGCATCTGCTCCTGATCATTCCTGCCTGCCCCCGTCCTACGCGGTATAATCACAGCAAACCATCTTTTGACATTTCTTGGGAATTTTACATAATAATTGTGTTGCAACGTTCAAATCCTCTCCCATCTCAATTTTTTAACCTGTGCAGGACTACCTTGTTGGAGGGTGGGTTTTTTTTTGTATGAAAATGTTTCTAATTAAAAATAAATATTTTTGTCACAGTATTTATGGTACCCAAACATCTTTTGAGGAAAATATGTTTTAATAAGTACCTCATACATCAGGCCTTTTCAGGATTGACATGAACAGTATGAAAGAGGAAAACAAGATTTATGCTGTCCTTTCAAAACAGAAAAACATAGTGCAGCTCTTTCTTAAAGTCTCTTTTTAATGGGAATTTTAAATGAAGATAAAAGATACTTTCTGAAACTTCCGAAATGATGTCGTTTGTCTTCTTGGAGGCTGCTTCTACTGTTTTGCTAATGTGCAATATACTCTATGTAAACAGAATACCTTATCTGTCAGGGTATGGGGAGTTTGTTGGAACATTACTTTTACGTGTGCTGCTGTGTTCTGCTAAAGGTTACAACTGATTCCCTGTCTTCTGCTCCGCTCTGCTGTGAAGCAGACACGGTGGTTCAGGCAGGACATTGGAATCAATGACTTCATACACAAGACTTTTTTCAAGTTTTGAAAGGGTTATTTTTCATTTTGCACAGTGAAATGTGAAATTAGGAAATGTCTTTATTAACAAAGATAGGACAGAGATACATTTACTGTTGCGTTTTTACAAGTATTGACATTTTTAATGAACTTTATGTTCAATTTCTTTTTTTCTTTTTTTCTTTTTTTTTTTCACAATCTTGCATTGGGAATAAAGTCAAGGGTTTTAGGTAGTTTAACAAAGCAAAGGCATTATTTAAAGATTAGTCTGCTGCAGTCTGGTATTCCACCCTAGGCATTCAGACTCTTCAGTGATGAGCCCACTATATATGTGGTAGGTATTACCTATGGATATCAACCCATCGAGATCTTACAAGATGAGAAGCTGATATCCAGCCATCTAGATAAATAAGTTTGTTAGTCCCACTTACTCCTTTGGAAGAGGGTATGCAGCATGTGCAGCAGGATCAAGCTTTAAACTGTCATCAGCCTCTCTGTAATTCTCTGCATTATATTCCAGTAATAATAAGCTAGACTAAATGTGGCAGAGCTAATATTTGATTTGGGGGTAAAATCCATCTCTTAGCACTCAGCTGGAGTATTTGGCTGGAAGCTAAGAAAATCTACCAAGGCATGGGCTCTCAGTGTGTTGGAGGGGAAGGAATGGAGTTACAAAATTAATCCGTCCCAAATTAAAGCAGTGTCTTTTTAAGTCCCTGAAGAAAAGGATTTTTCTCATAGGCACATGTATTTTCTGCAGCCCTTGTCCCCTGAGTTTGAAACTGCAGGTTTCTCTCAGTTTTGTTTCAGTTGCCAGTGAAACCAGTGAAGGATATGCCTGACGTGATGCTTTTGTGAGTGGTTTCAGGTGGGGCCAGCCCTGTGCCGGCCTGAGTGTGCCCTCCTCTTGTAAACAAACAGCTCTCCTGTAACACCGACTTCCACATTTTCACTGTAGGTAGAAACATTGCGATTGAATAACTTGGGAGTTTGTTCTGGAATGTCACCTACAGGCACGTTATTGTATGTGGGGAAGAAGCGGGTAGGTAAGAGGAGACCTTTGGCTGGATGGTAACGTGTAAATGTTAAATCGCAGCAGGACTGGGGAAATTCAGGCTGCTGGTGCCAGGGCTGAAGGCCCCGTTTGGGGTGGAAGTGGCCGCCCGGGTTCTGGCTTAGCCGCAGACCCTGTGGCACGGGCAAGGGCACTGGCCCTTGGGGGTTGGTGCTGTTTGGCACCATGCAGCTGAGAGGTCACTGGCTTTGAAACCGAACTGGGTGATAACTAGGTGAGCAAACGTGTAATTTGTAGTGAAAATGGTGCTTGCATCACAGCCAATTTAAATATTCATCTTTTCTTAAGACTCTTTGGGGAAAATGGTTTTCTCTCTGCTTCCTCTAGAAATTAATAATCATTATTACCATCTGGAAAATATTATTGTGACTTTTCCAATACTGTTTCCAATTCCTGTGCTTGTTTGCTGCCCTTGTCCTGATCGTACATAGATTTCTGTGGCCCAAACACGTCTTTTATAGACCAGTCTGTCTTGGTTATCAGAGTTAGGAAGCAAGGCAGTATTGCCTGACTGGCAGTCATACTTCTCTGTGCTGAGGTAGAGAGCGTTTTTACGTCATTGTTCCCAGACTCTGAACATACAAATCTTAATTTTTAATCGGTAAGGGTTTCTTTTAATACTGAGATAAATATTATTATCACTTTGCAGGGTTTTTCCTTTAATGTGACATATCTGTTTTAATACGAAGAGCGTTAGAGACATGGAGTCTTTAATTGTATGAAGTTTTGTTACCCTGAAATGTTAGAAGGCTTAGAGTGCTAAAGAAACCTGACAAAATTGTTTGCAAAACAAAACTATGTTTTCCTATCTCCACAAATTAAGTGACTGATCAAGGTCAGTATATCATACTAATGTATTTTCTCAATAAGATAAATACACTAATACAACAATTGTATATGATAATTTTATATCAGTTCGCTTCTTAGTCTACCTTAATGGCAGAGTCACCCCCTTATAATTGGGATATATATTTGTCCACCTCTTTTGAAAAGTATAAAATTGTATAAAATGCTTTGGAAATTACACTATTGCATAACTTTGTAGTGACTTAATGTCGATGGGAAGGAGACAATCACACTGCCTAACGTAGGAAACTAATTCAGGTGGCTAATTTAGGAAGTTAATCTTCCTAGTCTTTCTGTGTAAGAAGTGAAGAAAGAGGCTTCTGCTTTTTGTGGCTCCCTGAAGGAGCCTAACTGGAGGGCTGGGATTTGGCCCAAGGAAGAGCTCTTCTCTTCCTCTGACTTAAGAAGAAGATCTGGGACATAAACCAGGTAAGTTAGGTGCACGGTAGACCCATAGGTCATTGTGGTAACGACCAGAGGAATACCACAGTAGTTGCCATCTGCAGACTGGCTGGTAATTTGAGTGAAAAGTTTGGTAATATAGGGCAAGTCTAAAGAATGTACCACAGTTAAAATCAGTAGTGGTGACGTAAATAATCCTTTAGCAGGGAGGCTGGCAGTTTACTGCTCTACCTCTGGCATGCTTTCTTTAGACTGGGGCAAAAGTAGTGGCCCTATGGTGTGTACAGCTTTAGAACTTTATTTTCTTTAGCCTCAATTTCAGTCCTCTAACATAGAGTCCTCACTGATTTCTGTGAAATTCTATCAGGTCTGAGAGATATTACTTCTGACCATCTCACAAGAACTGCGTTTGTTTAACATTTCCTTTCCTTTTTTAATTTCAATAGTGTAGATTTCTGTGGAGAAGAACAGTGATTTATTACTTTCTTTTTTTGTTTGTTTGTTTGGTTGGTTGGTTTTTTTGTGGTTTTTTTTTGTTTTTGTTTTTTTTTTTTAACTTGTATTCTTTGTATTCCTGGCAGCTGATGAGCTACTTTTAGGGGGTCTGGAGAATATGAGCAAGACTGGAATCCATAGTGTTAACACCTCCAGTCAAAATACAAGGCAAACAAGGTTGAGAATCGCTGGCTTGAACGTTCATGTCACCATTGCCAACGTCATGATTACTGATTTGGAAATCTTGCTTTTACAGAATGGACTTCGATGATGAAGATGGGGAGGGACCCAGCAAATTTTCAAGGTAAGCATTTACAAAGAGTTGGCCAAATCAGTGACTTCTTCAGTGGAGAAAGACAGCTGTCTCACTACTCATGTTTTAAAGTCAATATGAATATGGCTGAAGAACTTGCCAACAACTTGACCTAAATTCTAGTTACTGTTTTTATCAGCTTCCTTTGCAAATTAGGCATCCTGGCAGAAATCTGCCTAATGTAGTTATTGGCTTACAAAGCTGACAGTGTGTGTGTCATAATTTTGCTCTGCAGCTATGTCAAATGAGAAAATTTGTGATTTTTAGCTTATTATTTCAACTGCTGTAGATGAACTTTGGTTAGACATTGCTGAAGTTGTCTTTCTGTCACTGAAAATTAATTTTATTTTGAATTTATTTCAGCTGTTAACTGCTTGTTAAGACAATATGACAAATCCTAGAGGTGTGGATTGTTTTTTTAAGATTAAAGCTCATTATGTGCCATTAGGTGTAACTGAATAGTAAAAACTGCCAAAATAAATGTTAATTAACGTGGAATATTTGAGGCTAGAAATAAAAACAAACATTAAAGCACCATTGCCATTTTTTCACTTTTCCTTTTTTTCTGGTCACACTGTTTGCATTTTTTCATTAGAAACCAGGCAGCTGCAGTGAGGGGTAGGTACTTTGAAGCCCACAGATAACTGCTGATCATCCAAATGGTAACTGCAGTTCTGTCCCAGCAGCCATGTCGAAACACAGCTGTCACCGTAGGGTGTTAGCAAGATCTTCCTAGTCAGTTTGAAAGATAAGTATGCTGAAGATGTGTCATAACACCATATCATAACCTACTGGACAAGACCAACAGCACCTCTGTTTAGGTGATATCGTTTACAGAAAGGATATTCCAGTCTCAGGTGTTAAAACTGGTGATCTGAGGGTTAGTCCTAATGTTTGCTGGAAGATACATGTTAAGGGAACAAGATTTGTGATTAATGTGACCTGATTTGTGCCTGCGTAAGTGTCAGGGTTTCTAGGCACACTGATGCACGTGTGTTGGTCTCTCGATCCTGGCTTCAGCTTTTCAAAGTCTGGTGGTGAGGAGAGCCAATAGTTCCGCTGTTTTTATCGGAGAGGTATGCTGCGCTGTGCTCAGGCTCAGTCGAGTTTAGATGTCAGATCAAAATCTGGTATTTAAATCTTAAATGCTGTGAAACCCCCAGATTGTTCTGCTTTTAGAGAGTACAGAAAAACAGTGCAGAGATGCCCGGGGCCATGTTCAGACATCCTTTTCTAGTTGTTCCCTCCTTTTAGGACTTTTTCCTTCTCCATATTGCTCACATGACTGATTCCTAGTTTGTCTCGGTCAAAACTGTTTGGTTAGCAAAGAGCTGCTGTTTTAAATGTTTAAGCTAACCCACGTGGCTTTGACTGAAGTGCCTGAAGAAGCATGCATGCAGAGGTCAGCTGGGACACTGGAAGGGAGAAAACAGTAGTTGGAGGCAGTAACAGCTTCAGCCCAGCCAACCAGACAAGGATGAGTAGAAAAGCCCCAAACTAGTGGGAGCACAGGAGGTAGTGGTGTTAGTACGGTACTCCACCTGAGTTAACACACCTTGCTTCTCAGGGACTTCCAAGCCAGCTCAGGTATCTCTGCATGGCATCTCATCATCACATGGAAGCGTATGCATGTACTTCTTATGTAACAGCATGTGGCCATTCCTCATTAAATCTGTCTTTTTGTTTAAAATTTTTTGGACTCTTGTCTGTTCTCTGGGCAGAGTCAAGTAGAATAAAGTGGCATTTTCACTGGAATGTTTTGAGGCTGCTGGTGTTAAAACACAACATAGAAATAAATACAACCCAAGTCTGGCTTAAGCTTTGTCTTCATCATTTGAGTCTTAATGAGGAAGGAAAATAGGAAACCTCGTAGAGGAATTTGCACAGTTAGAGTACTTAAAATTAGGTTTAATTCATTTGAGAAGAAAAAAGAAAAAGTTCATTATTAGTTTTTTAGAAAAGATGCTTAATTATGCTGTATTACTTTGTTAGCTAATACATGGGACCTTCACAGGCTGGCTGTTGTAATAAATTACATCATTTTGGAAAGGCGTAATTCTAATGCACAATCTCACTTGACTATTCTTGAGAAGTAATACTTTTCATTTCTAGAAAAGCCATTAGCCATATTTTTGAAAACCTGCATTTTCTGTTTTGGAACAAGAAATTTGGTTTCTCCAAAAGTAAGATGTTTTTCAAACAAATGCGTCTTTTTGTAAATATACTGGCAAATGATTAGTATGTTTTTAGGAAAGGGAAAGGAGGAGCAGCATGTCATTTTTTAGTGAAATGTCACGTTGCTGCCTGTCTCTGTGACAAAGCTTCAGAAACAGTGAAGCTTTAATCCTGTGGGGCGAAAGTCCCATTGATCTGGATTTCCTCCAAAAAGTTGCTGCCGATTGGGCATCTAACTTCTGTTGATTTGGGTAGGAATGAGGTGCCTATTTACTTCTAGGGATTTAAGCCAGTTTTAATTTCACTTCTATTTACCCAGCAGTTTCGTCTGCCTGACTGACTTTTACAGTCTTCCCAACAGGCGGTGCAGCGTCTCTACCTGCTAGAGCTTTTTTCTGAAGGCGTCTTTATATAATACATCGCACTTAAGCGCCTGTGTCTGCCCTCCCATGTTATCTGTAGACCATCAGTGCCCTCTGCTGAGTGGAGTGAGTTGTGGTTGCGATCTGGAAAAGATACAGCTCTTTCACTTCCAACACAGCAATGAATATTTCATGGTCTGCTGTCGATTAAAGCTCAGTGGTGTTTTCTGTAATGGTGCTGGTTGTTAAGTTCCCGAGCAATGAGTGTATGTCAAAGTGTTTGCATAAACCGACTGAAATGTGTCTCCAACTTTTTAAAATATACAAGTGAAGCTTTTGAATGGGCATGGCTTGGAAGTTTCATCAGACTCTACATTTTCTTTGCTTTATCGTTCTCATACCCTCATTTTCTTGCTGTTATTTGTAATAGTTTGCAGTTGTGAAGCTCTTTGCTTTCTGTTCTGCGTTGACTGTCATGAAATGCATGACCCTTGTGAATTTACTTCCTGTCTTTTGTTTCTAGGTATGATGGTGATCAAATCACTGGTGATAAGGAAAAGTTTGCAAGGTAGGCGTGTTCTGTAGAGCTCTTCTGCTGAGAGAAAAGAGGGGGATGTTCGTGTCCAAACAATCTCAGTACGTGTGCCTTAGCTTAGAGAGCTGGTTATTTTGTTTCTAGGTGGGATGATAATCAAAGTACTGCTGACACAGAAGGATGGCCAGGTAGGAAAAAGGAAAATCAAATATGGTTTGCCCCCATTTTTATTTTATATAAAATGCTGTTCTGACTGATCAAAAGTCAGGGGGGTTGGCTGATCCAAAACTGCTTGAAATCAGAAATACTAACCCTGGACCTTAGTGGGTCTGGATTAGCTCCTGCAGTCTCCCAAAATTTAAAGTCCCTCCAAAATTTCCATATAAAAACAAAGTTAGAAATGACAGAATTAGGACATCATTCTGTATACGTGTTTATGAATGCCAGGGTTCCTAGAGCAGACACTTTTGGAAGAGGAGCATAACCCCTCTTTTTCTTTTAAGGGTTTAAATTTGAACTAGTTTCAGGAAAGTTTCAAGGTTTTGTTTGCTTGAACATTTTTATGGCCAGTTGATTAACATACTATTACTTTTTACCTTTTATGATCATAAATGAAATGGACTGTTGGATATTCTTCTCTTTCTTCTCAGGAAGTTTTGCAATCTCTTTGTTTACTCTTTATAATAGTTGTTTTCAAAGTTCAGGAGTATTAAAATACTTTAGTGGCAGACAATGTAATATGTATTTATAAATGTAAAATGTATGTTTGAATATATGTGTTCTTTGTCTCTCTCTCTCTCTCTCTCTCTCTCTCTCTTCTCAATCACCATTTCTGTAAAAATGCTGAACTTAGAGCAAGCTTTCATCATGTAAAAATGAGTTTTTCTTCCCCATTTATCTGCATGTATATACTGACATGTACACACATGTGCTGTCATGTGCATGTGCACTGTCACACAAGCTGTTCCGCTTGTGTATGTGTATACGATCCAACACCCACAGGCACTGATCTGTCTTGGTGCAGACCTCCACAAAGGCGGGTTATCAGCCATTTGGAGTGGAAAGGTTCACTGCTGTAGTAGATAGTTAAGTAGGTAGTGACCTTAACCAAGGGACTGGCTGTAATTTACTGAACAACCATAGGCTATCATTGCGGGCACCTATAGCTGTATTTCCTGAATATCCGGTGGTAAGCGTAGGCGTCAGAAGGAATAATAACACTGCATGTAGCCTTAACAAATGGTATTTCTGAAGACAGTGCCTCATGCGTGTAACACCTGTATGTGCAGGGGCAGGATACACACTGTAAAGTGGGACAAGACCGTGTGTTCCTCTGTTTTGGGAAGCAGCATACTACAATTTGGATTCTTTCCTGCATTTTAAGAAAAGGTTCCATTATTAAAAGTAGCCAAAAAGTGTGCCAAGACTAGCTTTTACTTTCGAGATCAGTCTTCATAACAGCCAGCTCCAAGGAATGTTGCAGTTTCTTTTAACGTTGTATTATCATACCGATCAATGCTGGTGGACTCTCCAAGTGATCACCTTTCACATCTTGCTGGATCAGCCAGCGATCCCACAAGAAAATGTCATACACAGCTCATTGAAATCAATGGAAGATGCTGCTTTGACTTCTGAAGCGTCACATACCTGTCGTGTACTTATATTTAGCTGCTACCTGACAGGTACAGTATGGAAAAAATAAGTTCTAGGCACTGAAGTATTCTGGGTCCATTTGGACCATTTCAGATGTGTACATTGGTGTAATTCCTTAATAGTGATTGAGCAATGGTGATTTACAGTGTGGGAAAACTGAACTCCCAGATCTTCAGTTCTGAAAGATTTTGGTGACTGTTCATTTTGAGAATTCTCAAATTTGACTCACCACCTCAGTCATGTGTTTTCTATAAAGGATGAGAACACTGGAGCCCAGCCCAAAGTGGGGCAGTATCAAGTACTGTCATTGTTATTTCCCTGCTGTGCTAGATTGTTCTCGAACATAAATTCTGACAAGCCAGATCTTTACTTGCTGTCTTTCATACTAATTTTATTTGTTTACTGGGGGAGGGCGGGGGGTTGTATGAACTGTTATACCATAAATGGTCCCAGTGCTGCAGTCTGATCCTGTAGGCATGTAGTGTCTCCCTACAAGGATGCGGGACGTTCCACACAGCCTTACAGGACTGGAGATCTGTGTGTCATTGAGTGGGTTTTGTTGCAAGTCAGTGCTGGCACTTGCTGCTGACCTGATCCAGCTGTTAGTGAGAGATTTCCTCTAAAAGAGGCCTTTTATAAGCAAATCCAACACCTTGAGCGAGGACTGGAAGCTGTGAGAGGCATCACAGCAAATTTGGGAGTTTGGCTGGAACTGGCAGTCGTCAGTTCCTCACATCTTTCTACTTCATTTTTTGCCCTTAAACCAAAGGACATTCAGCTGGTTAAGAGATTAAGGCCACAAGCCAATAGCTAGAAATATGGGCAAATCATATTTGTCCTTCTGTGGCCTGGATTTTCTGTCTGTTAACTGAGGGATAATAGTGCTTAGCTTTGTAAAGCACTTTGCTCTCCTGGGGTGAAAACAGGTAAACAAGTGCAAAGTATGCTTCGTTACCTCTGATTGGAATTCTTACACTGATGATGTCTCCTTTTCTGTTGGTTTGGTGTTTCTTTAAATGTTCAGGGAGAATCATAGTGAAATTGAGAGGCGCAGGAGAAATAAGATGACACAGTACATCACCGAGCTGTCTGATATGGTACCCACTTGTAGCGCGTTGGCTCGTAAGCCTGACAAGTTGACAATTCTTCGGATGGCTGTTTCACACATGAAATCAATGAGAGGCACTGGAAACAAATCTACTGATGGAGCTTACAAGCCTTCGTTTCTAACAGAACAGGTAGATTTTTCGCAAATGCCCGTTTTCTCTGCTTTGTGGTCTTAAAAGATGTGAGGAAGTGCTGAGAGCACAGTCTCAGCTTGATCCTTCACTGTTGTCATAACTGGTACAAGCAACATACCCAAGGTGTGAATACAGACAATTTTGGATTTGATCTTAACTATATAACAAATTTTTCTCTCTGAAGCAGCAAACTGGGTGTTCTTATCATTGAGGTCTGAAAAACAAGTCACTTGCTGCCTCTAGTCACTGGAAAGAAATTTTCACCTCCAGAACCGGGTTCTTCCCATCCTAACAAAGTTTCTCTAAAATAGGTAAAAATGAATCTGGAAAGACCTGCCTCTCCCTCTTGGGTGTAAAGGAAGGTTAAAAGTGTTGTTTAGTCTTAATGCCTAAGTTCCCAGCGGCTGAACTGGGCAGAGATGAATCCCATCTGTACTGGCTGAGGTACTTGGTTACATTTTTGATGGAAGAAGGAAGATGCACCCAGTGCTTGAAGGAAAACTGTGTAACTGAGTGCACTGGAAATTCCTACCACCTTCATTGTTTTTGAAGTCCTGTGGGTGTAATGTGCATTTTTGTGGTCTGCACGATTTAAACACTTACACATGTAAGTCATGGCTAGAGGCAATACTTCTTTCTATTACAGAAACAGCAGCTGCTGCTGACCTCTCAGTGTTCACATGTCTACTTACTCTGGCTTTCCTGAGGTGTGTTTCTGGAAGGGCTGTGCCATTCAGCTGGTTGTTGGTAGGGTACCCTAGTCACTTCCCATTGCAACTTTTTGGGGGTTTTGGGCCTTGCAGAATGGCAGAGTTTATCTTCATCTGTGATAATAATGTATACAAAACAGGACTTACTACTCTCTATATAATGCTGCCAGCTACACAGTGAAGTGGTTCAGAATTGATGTGCTTTCTCTACAATAAAGCAGCAGAAGTCGATGGTCTGTGAAACATTTCTTGAGATGAGTTATCAGTTTCTTTAGTAGAATTTACCAGATTTTAATCCTCACCTTATCAATGAATATCTGCCATTTGCACACTAGCCGGGCTGAGCAGTCTAACCTGGAATGGAACTCAGAGTGTCCAAAGCTCTCTGACTGAGTTCCAGATGCAGTTATCTTAACAAGCTCTGGTGGTCACTGGAGCCACCAAGCAAAGGCTGTTGGAGCTTGTTTCCCAGAACCAGTAGTGGCGGTGGTCATCCTTTCCCGTGAGAGGTTTTCGAGCTCTGTTAAGCAAAGGTCGTGTTTCTGTGTGATGCGTACAAGCAGTTGTTTGCCTGTGCAATTCAAGGTGACTAAACCCCGTGTCTGAAAGTTAGGGACAGAAATACCTTGTTTCAAAGGCCTACAGTCCCCCTTCCAGTCCCCAGGTGTGGTCAGGGCTCTGGGTGCTGCATCTGAGGTGGGTGTGTGGGTGTCTCAGGGCAGAAGTGCCCGGGATGATGAGCAGGGGACTGTGTAAAGAAAAGGCCTAAGACAGGGGTGTTCCAGACCCTTTGGATCTCTGAGGTTTCATATTCACAGGCTGGAAAAACCAAGTAAGAATTGATACAACCTTCTTGTGTAGTGGCTCAGGCCCCCTAATGGGAGGGGAGCCTGGGGATTCCTGTCCTTGTTCCCATTACACTTTCTGCCTTTTATCCAGTGACTGTTTAATTTACAAACAGCTCATCCTGAGGGGGGGCGGGGGGGGGGAAACAAAAACCAAAACCAGAAAGACTTGTTGGTTTCTTTCCAGTTAAATTATTCAGGATGTTTAATTAAGGGATGAGTTTGCCATATGAGTTATAGCTGTTTATTTCCTCTGTTTGTAATCTGAAATAACTTTTTATTTTTTTTGTTAGATGCCTATCACCCAATATGCAGTGACTTTTAGTTACTTAATTTTCTTAAAGTGCATTGAGATCACCTGATGAAAGGCAATAAAGGAAAACAAAGCATTGTTTGTTGTTAAGATCAGCAGTTTATGGCTTGCTGCAGGTTTGGTTGTGCTGTCATATCAATACTACAGTGAAAATTTCTGCCTCGGTTGTGATCAGCCACTAAGATCGCAAGAAGACAATATTCTTTGGCAGTGACAAATGTGCTATTTAATTCCCTTCTCTTGCTGGCATTCTAATGAAATCCTTTCTTTGGAAGGAACTGAAACATCTTATCCTGGAGGCTGCAGACGGGTTCCTGTTTGTAGTTGCAGCTGAGACGGGAAGAGTGATCTACGTATCAGATTCTGTGACTCCTGTGCTGAACCAGCCACAGTCTGAATGGTTTGGCAGCACTTTGTACGAACAGGTTCATCCAGATGACGTGGAGAAGCTGCGAGAGCAACTGTGTACATCCGAAAACTCTATGACAGGTCAGATATATCTGATGTGTGGTCCTGTGTGTTATGGATCCCTGCAGAGTTTTTCTGATATTCAAAATGCCTGGTTTAAAAGTCTGGTAAAAATGAAATTCAGCAAGATTAAACTGTATTTTCTTGCAGGCGGTGTGGTAATATAAATCTTCTTTTGCATGACTACATTTTACTTCCTATTTGTTTGACTTCAGTCAAACCACCATCATGTAGCTCTGCGTTCAAACTTCTGGCTTGGGTAGGTTTGGAATCTGGATTGTTTTCAGTCTTGGTCTGAAAATCTAGATTGTTTTCCTTTCGTCCTCAATGAACTTGTGACTTCTTTGCAAATATGTGTTTCTTTAGGGCAGTGTTTATTTTGAAGGCAAAAATCATACTTCAGACTTTTCCATTTTCATAGAAATTCCTTGTGGTTTGCTAACGGGAATCCTGGGGAAAAAAATCCAGTGTTTGGCAGCTGAAAATCTAGTGGATTTTAAATGGGAGGCTTGCTTCTGTAGCAGTGATATAAGTTAGCTGTAATTTGTCTACCTATCATTTTGCACATAAAACAAAACCATACTTGTATCTTCAGTATAACTCTAGCTTTTACAGTTATTCATGCTCAAGACTGCCAGTAGGAAACTACCCTTTTCTTTAATAGGGCTATGAGAATTAGCTAAATCCTGTTTTAACTCAAACTTGGAAAGGAGGAAACCCAACTTCTCCTTTTATTCTTCCACGTAGTATGTTAATAACTAAAGGAAGAAAGCTAGGGGAAAGTATTTATAACAAAATCCTGATCCATGCAAAAGTCACATAATTTCTTCTTGCTTTAGTAATTCGGAATTCTGACCTGGTTTGCTGGAAGTTTTGTTGTGTTTCATAACTCAAAGGACAGTGATCCAGTTTTGAGTGAACCTGCACACTGTTTACAGCTTCCATGTCAAAACAGTGCCAAATTCATGATTTCCTGTGGTTTGAATGTGATGTGGTTTTGGCAGAGCTATCGTGTATTCAAATTGGAAATTCAAAGCGAAATTGTGTGGTGAAAATCCAGATGGATCGAAACCAAGTGAACAGTGAGGGGAACCTGTGCAGAGAAAAACAGCTAAGTTTTGTACAACGAGACTTGCAGAAGAGCACAACCTCTGTTTTTATTGTGTAGCGTGTAATACATTTTAATGTACGTACTGTCTTCCTTCAAGAAGCAATTACTTCAGAGCCTCAGTCAACAGTCATGTTTCGACTTCCAAAAGTGCTCAGTTATGGGACTTAACTTGCTCAAACTAGAGCAGGACTAGACAAACGCAGAGAAACCCAATTGAAAATCCAACTATGTATTTTTTCCAGTTTTAACTATGTGCTTTTCTTTCCCACTGAATCATCTGTAGCCAGTGGAAAGAGGAGTTCAAATAATAGTATTTATAGGCTAAATCTTTTCCCTGCCTGAGTCTTTTGGAGTTGTGAGATTGACACAGAAGGCCCGTAAATCTGCTGTTCATGGACAGCTGAACATTTTCCCAGTGTGAGGAAAGAATCAGCTTGTTTAAAGCCAAGGTAGCTGCACTCCTTAAGGTGCAGAGGCAGGCTGGGTGTAAAAAGATGCTTTTTAGGGACTGGAGAGTGTGTGTAGTTACAACTGTTCCAGTCAAGTGCAAGTAAGAACAGTGTAATTGGTCCTAACTGTACGGGCCACATTGCGCGAGTTTTCCATTATAAAGTGATTGTGGTTGCATGTACAGTGCAATTTTTTGGCCAGCTGAACATCTCACAAGCCATAAACACAATCATGTCTGCTTCTGAATCAAGCATAGACATATAGTTGTATGTACATCATCTCTCAGAAGATCACCATAGAACAGATTTTTAACGTGTCTGCTGCATTTTTCTAGCTTTTTAATAAAATTAGTGTAAAGCAAGTGACATCATAATACAGCACTGCTTTTCAAGTAGTTTTGTTTTAAAGATGTGACGGGTGAAATACCTTTAGTTAGTATACTAGTAGTTTTGTCAGTGTGTGGAGCATATAGATAAACAGGAAGCTCTAGATTTGTTCTATTAAACTTGCATTTTCTTGACCCTGTCAGGTACCATTACATAAGAGAAAGTCTTCTGCAAGGACTTTCAGTCCAGCATCAGTTTGCTTATAAACAGCATGCAGCGGGACGTTGGGAGCCTCACTCTCATTCCTTTGAGAATGAACTTTTCTGGGAGCAAGGTGGCTTAGAGTCCATTCAACCAGTTACGCTTTCTTTCCTGTAACACAAGCCGTATTGAGAGTGGCAGCTTTGTAACAGGTAGGAGTAAACCAAAATATTGTGGTGAACAGAAGCAGTGGGTGCCGTAGTGATGTTTTAAAAGAAGTCAAGTAGGCAAATGCGCTTCCTTTAAGTCAGTGTTTATCGAAGCATTTGGGTAGCCCCCAAGGCTCTCTTGGCTTTCCAGAGTTATGTTTCGTGCAGAAAAAAGGGCAATGCAGAGCTTGAAAGAGATGCAAACCACAAGCCATCCGGCTGTGTTTGACATTTTTCCTGCTCAAAGTGAAGTTCACTGCAGGCAACAGGAAAATCCTCATCTTGTAGTGACCTCTGGCTGTTGAGCACAGGATCTGCTTAGGGAAGAGATTTGCAGGTGAGAATGTAATGATATGTTATGATTGTTAATTTTGCTCTCTTCCTCATCTTCTCAGGGTCCATTTTCTCAACCTTATAACCTCCTCCTTCAGCCCTTGAACTGGGGAAGCAATGACAGCATCTCGACAAGGGAAAAACTTAACTTGCCTTGCATCAGATCAGAGCTGTGTCCTTTGGTTATATGTGTTTCTCCTGTTACAAGTGCTGATCATTAGCGCTGCATTGCTGGGGTTTTCCCAGCACCTTTTAGCCATCCTGCTACCAGGAGAAGCTGCTCCAGACCCTGAGGACTTGGGAGGCTGCCACTGCCAAAGGGGAGCGACAGGGAACAAGCCGGTGGAGAAAGCAGGCTCCCTCTCACATTTCTGCCCCCAGGAACGAGACTGGGACTGGGGCTGTGGTTGCATGAGCGGGTTTTTTTGGCACTCGTACCAGCTTATGCAATCCTCACCTCATCTCACCCTCTCCTCCTTTGGCATTTGTGTGGTACTACAGTGAGTCACATCAAGGGGGCTGACCCAGCCAAAAGCTAAGCTAAGCAAAAAAACCCTGGGTTTGGTAGAGACAGCTCTTTGGCCTACCTTACATAGGGTTGTTCAAACTCTTGTGCGAACACCAAGGAGAAGCGGGGAGCGAATAGTTAAGGGTAAGGGGAGGACAGGACTTCAGGAGCAGTAAAAGCGTATGCCAGATTGAAGTGGCTGTTTAACTATGGCCTGAACCACGTAGTGTGTTTGGGGAGTTAATTGCTTGCTCTATTTTTAACTGTCAGGATATGGGGAAGGATGGATAGTTTCTATTCCATTTTATATCCGTGGAGATTTTATCCCCTGGAAATGGAACAGTTGTCTACTTGTTTATTGTACATTAATTGCTAACACATTGTAGCAACAGGAAAGCTGAACTGTGAAGTATATGTACAGTTTGAAATGCTCTAGAAAAGACAGCAGCTGAGACTTGATAATAGCAACAAATAGTGCTCCCAAGAAGTTTTTACATGCGTCATGGGCATGATTAATCAGAATGAGGCAGATACTCAGAGTAATAATTTATTTTCCCTCTTTGTTCTTGGAAATCTGCAGATAGGAAAGCAAATCACTTCAAATATGGATAAAGATCAGATCCCACAGTAGGGTCCATTAGCAAAGACCTCTTTGCCCTTAGGATGCACTGATGAAACTTGAAGGATGGTGGGTTCAGGTGCGGGTTCAGAGTTGGACGTTGTGAATGGCTGACTAGCACACAGCACAGTGGGATCCTAATGCAAGTGAGAGCCTCCAAACAGCTGCCGACAGCAAATCTCTGATGATGCAGAGAACAGACAGAACTTACATTTAAGTGCAGAGAAAAACAGCTTTTGAAGAATACCTCTGCTACATTTACTGTCCAAAAAATGACTGAGCAAGTATTATAGTAAACTGTCCTTCCGTTAAAATACGGTGTTCCAGGACACTTTGCCAGACTGATTTCTACCACTCTAATTGTCCATAAGCAGTTCATGAAAGAGTAGAATGAGGAATATAGATAACTCTGTATGGTTTCCTGGAAGTAATCCAAGTGGTTCCATGATGTGTCTAAGATATGCTTGTCAAGGCTGTGAGGTCTGTGTTCCTGCAGCCAGCATCTCCAGTGGTGCGAATGGGAAACGCCCCAGTTTATTATATTCAATTCTGAGCTTCAAGCAGCACAGCACGTAGTAATCCAGCTGTAACGTCTTCCTTCAGCCTCACTCTCTATAGCTAAGGCGAGGCAGGGAGCAGCATATGTAATCCCGTCCGTGGCACAAAGCCTTCTCAGGACATTCAGGATCAGGAGGAGTCCTTGCAAACTGTTTTAGCCAGGTAGTTAAAAGGTGCTGAAACTGTGGATCTGTGACTGCAAGAAAATGATGAGAACCAGAACCTCTACAGCTTTCATTTTCAAGTGATTTAAAAATGACTAAGTCAATTTATTTGCTAGCTGAAAAAGATTAATTGAGGTTACTCCTGGACAGAATTTGTATGCCAAGTTTAATCTTGGCGTGATATTTTATTGCCATATTTTATAAGTACAAAAAAGTAGAACTTTATGATGGAAATGGTGACTGACCACAGCAAAAGTTGAGCTGATAGGTACCTTTTGAGAAGAAAACACAATTGTGTGACAATTTGCTGTGGTTCATGAATATTATGGAAACATCACTCCATGTTACACAAGCAGATATTTGGATTAGGGAACCTTTCTCACAGAACCTTCAAATAATATGTTGTCTTGCAGTGATGGTTTCAGCATATGCAGCTTTCTGTCCAACTGCAAAGCTTTCTGTTACCAAGCACAGCCATAAAATGCAGATGCTGTAGATAGAGTCAAATTGTCTGTAATAATGAGAAAAATAGTGTTAAACTC